TAAAATTTGGAATAAATAGTTGATTTTGAATAATTATGTTAGGAGCAAGTAAGGAATGTAAATGGATGCTTAATAATGTTTGATTGAATGCATCAGCACTGAGCAGGGAGTAAGACAAAGATTTATAAAGGTGTTAGTGACCTTATAAGTTGTTGGTTGTGTATATACTTTGCATGCAAACAATACTGAGGTGTAGGCTGTAAGCCCAAATGATTTATCATGGGTGTTGTATAATGTGGCAAAGAATATGAACAAATATGATATCCTAAAACAAGGTAATCGTGATTGGAAGAGAAAATTGAGTTATACATAAATGGTGAAAAACTAGAACAGATAATTTTTAATGCAGATAAGTACATTCATGAATTAATTCTGATATACAAATACTTTCAGAGTAGTAGTGGGTTATATATAGTCTATAGTTAAAAAGAATTTTTACTGAAGTGAAAATAGTTGTATGTAAAAATAGGTTTTGCCCATTTTGTAATATAGAAGTAGTATAATAAGAAAAATATAAAAATAAGTTGAATATAAGGGGAATTATTTAAGAAATTGAACAAAAAGAATAAAGCGAAAAAGGAATGGGTGTTCAATTAACTTATATTAAATATAAGTTACCAATATAAAATAAGTGTATTGAGGTAAACTTACATACAGAAATAATGACTTACGGCTGAATTGCTAAATAAATGGAGGGATGAATGAGTTGGGAAGAATAGCAGTTCAAAAAGCTTGAGGTTGGATGAATTTAATGTTTTCCTGGGTGCTGCTTGGAGAGTCCAAGCATGGGTTAAATACAGCCAATCTGTCCAGGACTGAATTGAAACTTTAAGCCACACCTCTGGTGCTGACTATTCTTCAGATTTTTTCAATTCAGTCAGCCCAGTGGACGCGCTTCAAGCTTCTCTTCATTCCTATAAATTGCTTGGACTCTCTGTTCCTTTCACATTTAAAAAAAAAAATTCCCCTTTTTTCCTTTCCTTCTACTTGGATCATTGTGAGCAGGTTTGGTGAGTTA